ATTAAAACCACCTCATTTCCAATTCCTGCTCGAGTTTCTTTCGAATTTCAAGTGCTACTAAACAACCACATTTGCAGGATCTTGAAACGCTGAAGACCACCATCGGTACTTACACGCCAACTTTCCAAAACTAGTTACTCCTAACTTTCTCGATTGTTTACCCAATGCTGTCTGTCGTTTTTCACAATCAGAAAATTATTTACTTACAATCGCTCCGCGAACGACTGACTGCGTGATAAACATGGCCAATTCACGTGAATAGCGTACACCAGGCTCTTTTCATTCCGTCACACCTTTAAAAAACCATCACATAACTGAAATCTGGAGAACTGGAAATCCACAAAAATTTGGGATATATAGGTGGCCTTTTTCGCGACAGGACCAACCTTGGAATGAAAACACTTGCCAAGAAAGAGGTATTTATGCATGGAAATGTTACAAACATGGCAACTTATCACCGAGTCAAACGACTGTAAGATTCGAGTGTAGCAAGAGGGTAGCCAAATTAAGGCATCAATCACCAATCATCAGAGCTGATAAGATACAGATGATAAGCGGAAATAGGCAAAACTAAAACTGGAAATAAACAAAACAACACCGGTGGATTAATGACGATGGAGAGCATAAGTTACAACATTTTCGACATTTCTTGAAGGCACCGCGCAACGATGGAGCTCATCCGACGATCAAAGCTTATTACTCTTGCTTTTCACGTGCCAGCAGGTTGCTCGTCCATGCCGCCACCTCGGAAAGGCGCTGCCGAGCCTCTGATATCACCTGCAAAACGGGGCATATTACTTTATGACTTGAGCAACCGCGAACAACAGTATTTTCGCAATTACAACAAAGTTGATACAGGGTGACAAAGGAACCATTTGTCGGTGAAACCCGAGCTGGGGGGGGGAACGGTGCAGCGCGGCCCTCTGCTCGTCTGCACCACTAAGGCTTAGTCCGCGGTGCCACTGTACGTCAAAATTGCGGCGAAATCGGTCCCTGTGACTAATTGTAAGCCTCAAAGGTGCAGTCGAACAGAGCGCCGCGCCGACACCCCCCCCCCGGAGTTTCACTCATTTGTCCTCTGATTATTATCCTCTGCCACCGGCGAGATCGAAGTGAAACCTACCCTAATTTCTGCTTGCCAAGCCCTAGCCTATGTAAAACAACTCTGCTGCATACTTTCGTACACCTAAAGACCACCGTAACTTCGGCCATGGGGGTGATTCGATGCCCTGATTACGAAAATGACATTCGTTTTTAGCGTTGGCGCCACCAGGCGCCTTGTAACGACGCTTGTTTTCACCAAATTCGGTGTAAACTAGTAGAGAGGGTGAAGCGATTGCGAAAACGTCACTCGTTTCTGGAACTAGCTTACAACGGTTCCCTATCTAAGAAGTAAGAGGGCGCAGACGAGCGGAAAATAGGCGCCAAATGCGCCAGCGCCTGAAAATGAATGTCATATTCGTAATCAGGACACCAAATAACCCCTATACGGAAGTTTACACCGAATTTGGTGAAAACAAGGTGTCGTGACAAGGTGACGCCAACTGGCGCCAGATGGCGCCACCGCTAAAAATGAATGTCATTTTCGTGATCAGGGCATCGAATTACCCCTATGGGCATGTTACGGTGACTCTAGATGTACTCAAGTACACTGCACCAGTGGAGGTGTTTTTACGTGATACTGGCTAGGGCTTATCTACGGGGAAATAGGGCACTTTTCCGCTTTCTGATAAATTCTATCTAAAGCTTCAAACCAGTTAAACCACTGAAGTGGGTGAAAATGGTTTTATGAAAGGGCAAGAGAGCACCCTATTGTGCTCTCCGACTCTACCACAAACATGTAGACAAGAGCGTCTCTGAGATAGATGTCAGAGTCCGCGACGGAAGTAGCGTTTCCGGCGCTTACGCAGCGAAAACGCGACTCTAGAGGGAGCGATATCGATAGTCACGAGCCGCGGATGACATGCTCGCTGTTTGACGGTGGCCTGAAAGGGTCGCCAAGAAGATAGATACTAATAAAGGTAGCTAAATATAGATTCTCCGCCCGCAAATTTTGATTGATCGCGTAATCTCTTGGATCGCGTTTTCTGAGGCTGTGTACGCAATTTCCAGACTCTGACATCTGTCTAGTGCTAAGATTAACACTCAGCTCTTATCTCGATTCCTTCCATGCATAAGTGTGAAACTCTCCTCACTCAAGAGCCAGCGCGATGGTTTGGAGTTGCCGGTCGCGATCCCTAGTTCCTTTTCAAGAAGTGCATATTGTCTGCTAGTCGAGGGTCTTTTTTTTGCAGAAAATGCAATTGCAATTTCCCATATCCCGATTTCCTACCCGGTGTACAAAAAATAGAGCTCTACGTTAGAAACCTTCACTATTGAAGAACAGTAAAAAGTTGTTCTGAAGAAAAGATCTGAGGCAAGTTGAGGTCGCTTCAGAAACGCTATCTAGATAGTTCGGCATAAGTAATTTAGTGATTGTCACAGAACCTTTTCAGAGCGTAGTTTGGTGAAGCAAAATTTTCAGTGTACCTATATATGTATGGAACGTTGTGTATACTATCACATTTGTAACTGGATTGATCCACGATGTCGAGTGAAAGATTCAGCATTGTGTCGGCTGGCTCCTTGCTTACGACGTGTAGTCACCAGAGAGATCACCTTGTGACAAAGTAATGTGAACAAGGTGTGGATATAGTTTTTATGAAGCACACTGGTCATCAATTTTTTTCATACGTTATAATCCCAACTTGAGCCATTTTTACTTGTGAAATTGAATGCCATACCTCACCCTAATCACGTCTTATGTGTTCACCGACTCAATGCTGAATTTTTCACTTGGCATCGTGGATCAACTTTGCGAAACAATAAAGGACCCGACTGTGAGCTAGTAGAAACTCACAGTCGGGTCCTTTATTGTCATTGGGAAGGATCATCACACTAGCGGAGTACTCAACGTAGGTGTTGTGATGACAATTAGCATCAAGGAAACATGATACAGGTATTTCCACTCGTGGCTCATGGAACGTTAGTATGTAAACTGTCTTATATTTAGATTATTATGCGCCAATGACGCGCATCATTACCCACTGGGTAGGTGATGCAAACACTAAATCAACATTGAATAAATACTAAATAAATAGACAAGAGGATCGAAGTCGTACCATCTAACCGCTATCATAGTGGGAAACAGCCATCGTAGAGGAAAAAAGTCAATGGTAAGAAGTAATAAAGCAGAGACCGAGACAGAAGAACACCCTAGCCAAAACAAGTGGAAATCCGGCAGACACCCACACCAGTCGGCAATGGTGCCCTTAGCGCCACACAAAGGGGTCATAGGAGCTTGCCGGAACTTCGAGACACGAGTATACCGACAGCCCTCGTGGAACCGGCAAGCCAGGTGAGAGCGGAATTCCAAACCTTGTGAGACCCAAGCATCTCTTAATATGTTATACTGAACTAAATATGCGTTTAAAAGGAAATCTTCGCGAAAACTTTGCACTCTTTCCTAACATGAATATGTCAGTTGTGATCACTGGAAATAGCACACAAAGTTTCACGCATGAAGATTCGGTTTCTGAAGAGAAACAAACGTACAAAAACTACACGTTATGGACCATCGAAGGACCAGGAGGCAGAGCCAGGCGAGGCATGGAAAGAAGACGGCGTTTGGCCAGCTACGCACCTGGCGACGCAAT